ATGCAAATTCTTTTTAAAAGAAAATGTAGAATATTTGTAAAACTTTTCAGACACTAATCTATAAAGCAAATTTCAACAAATTTCAAAGACAGATTGAACTACAGAGAGATTGAACTAGAGATCAATAATAAAAGAAAAAGAAATCACTAAGTGTTAGGAAGTGAAACAATACATTTCAAAATAATCCATGGGTCAAAAAAGAAATCCTAATAAAATATTTAATCATTTTGAACAAAATCATCACAGAAATATGACATATCAAAACCTGCATATTGTAGATAAACCCACATTTAGGTTAAAAAATATATAGCATAAATACATATATTAAGAAAGAAAAAACTATAAAAATCAAATAGCTAAATATCCCTGTAATATGTTTTATAAAGACAAGTTAAATCCAAAATGGTAGAATGGAGAAAATATAAAAGAAAAGAGCAGAAATTATTGAAACAGAAAAATAAACCTACAGCAGAGAAAAGTCTGTAAGACCAACAATTCTTTGAAAAGGCTAGTCCCCCTGATAAATACCTACAAACACTGATCAAGAATAATAATTTTTAAAAAAAGATGAAAGAAAAAGCACAGTTATCAATATTAGGAATGAAAAAGGGAATGTCACTACAGATCTCAGAACTGTTAAAAAATAACATGAAGACATTATAAATAATGTCATTATGTTCGGAAATGTAATTGAACACACTCCTGGAAATATATAACCTATGTAAACTAGCACAAACAGAAAGTATCTGAATAAACCTGTTTGGATTTCAAAGTCAAATCTGTCATTAAACACACATTCACACACACAAACATTCCCCAGAGAAAATTCAGGCCCAATCAGCTTTACCACTAAAATCTTCAAATGCGAAGGGAAAACAACAACAATAATCTTAACACAAATTCTTTAGGACAATAGAGAATGAAGGAACTTGTTTTATGAAACCAATATAATTTTGATACTAAAATTTGTCAAGAAAGAAAAAGTATAGGTCCACCTTTCTCATGAACACAGATACTAAAATCCAAAACCAAATTAAAAGTCAAATCCAGTAATTCATAAAAAAAGAACAACTCATCATGGCCCAGTTGAATGCAGAGATGATTTTACATTTGTAATCATCAATGTGATTGACCATACAGGCAATAAAAAAAGAAAAACACGATCATGTCAATAAATGCAAAATAGATATTTACTGTGACTCAATGTCCATCATATAGGAAAAAAGAAAAATTCTTAACAAACTAAAAATGGAAGTAAACTTACTTAATCTAATGAAGACTATCTACCAAAACCACCTAAAGAAAATAAACAATTTAATGATGAAATATTGAGAACTTTCCCTGTGTGACTGGAAGGATACCTGTTATCACCACTTCATTCAGGATTATGTTTAATATTCTAGCCAGTGTAGTAATTCAGAGGAAAAATTATTTAATACTAAAAAGTTACATATATATATATATATATATATATATATATATATATATATATATATATATTTATTTATTTATTTCTAGATGATAATCTACAAAAATATCTTCATGGTCTTAGAGTAGACAAAATCAGAAGGGATTATAAAAATATCTAACCATAAAGGAAAAGATTGATGAATTAGACTCCATCAAAGTTTAGAATGATCATTAATCAGAAGGATCTATCAATGAGCAAGAATAAAAGCCCAGACTGAAGAAAGACATTTGCAATATCCAACAAAGGATCCATATCTAGAGTTTAAAAGAACTATAAAACATAAAGACCAAAAATAGGTAGATATTTGAGCAAACATTTCACATAGAGAACAGATATCTAAATCACAAATTAGAAAATTAGATGACTCTCATAATTCACCAGGGACATGAAAATTAAAATCTTATTAAGATGAATCCAACAAAATTGCTAAAATTCCACAAGATGGCAATACCTGCAATAGCAAGGACTAGATCATTGAGAACTCTCCTGTTGCTTGGTGGAGTGTGAATTGGCACAATCACTTTGGAAAATAGCGTGGCCACATTTTCTAACCTGGATACTGTCTAGGCATGCCTGATGAGCTGGTAATTCCACTCCCAGGTATTTATCCCATAGAAATCCATGCATATGTACTGAGATCTATAGAAGAATATTCACAACTGTTCTATTTGTTTTAGCTCCAAATGCAGGCAGAGACTCTGTTCCCCTTGAGGGTCCCCTACTGAACTGAGATGGATTCGTCTCTGTTTACCCTGTATGTTTTCCTCAGGGCACAGTAGTTCTAAATGTGACATCATATGCCAAAGGCAATGTGCATTAGTAGATACAAAGTTAAATGTCCCTTTAGGAGGACCAAGGTGTGAGTCCAGAGAGAAAAGGTGGGAAAAAAAGTATTTCAAAGAGAGAAACTGACATTCCTTATGGCAGCTAATGTCTTAGGGGCCTTGGTTGACCTGTGCACCAGCACAGAAACCTGACTTTTAAAAAATTATATAAGCAATTCATACACATGATGCATGCAAAACAGGATAGAAACACACAATGAAGTGGCTCTTTCCCACCAATAATACATCAAATATAACCATTTATTAGTGCTTTCCATGAAAAGGTATATTTATACTTATAAAAATACATTTATACACATGTATTCAATTTTTTCCATCTATAACAAAGAAATAATACTGCAAATGCCAATCAGCACCTCATGTTTTGTCCTCTCCCATTAATCAGAGTGGTCTAATCTTAGCATGTGTAGGTTTGCCTCATTTGGGGGAGAGGTGTTAACCAGGGACTGAACTCAGGACACTTAACCACCGAGCCACATCCCTGCCCTATTTTGTATTTTGTTTTTTAATTTTAAATTACATGTTTATTTCCAAATTTTCACAGATTAATAGATTGCATTTTCTTAGAAGACAATTTACAGGAGTTTGCAGCACTGATTTCTTATTTAAAAAAAAAAGAGAGAGAGAGTAATGATTAGGATTTGATGATTAGGATTTGTAGATATGAATGACCATGAAAAGACGTCTTCCTGGAAACCAAACATACACAGATATTCCCACCAATCCAGCAACAGTGTCTTGATGATGAGCTGAATAAAGACATAACATCTTAGGTCACACCCAGATGCAGGATAAGGCTCAAAGCTGCAGGCAGCAAAATATTCTCAGAAAGGCAAGATGCAGGCATCACGGACTGCTGTCCCTCACAGATGCCCATTGTGCATTGCTGGCTCCTCATAGGAGTGCACAGCAACATGAAGCCAGCAGCTCACTCTGGGAGGAAGGGCCTCTCCTTTCTCAGTGACTCAATCAATGCATTACATAAAAGACAAGGTTCGAAAGAAACATTTGCTCCAAGGCACTGAAGGTGTAAAGTTTTTTTTTAGAAAATACATAAAAATGAACAGACTAAAAAAAGAAGTTAATTATCAATGGAAGAATCCATCATTACTGTGACTAATGAAATAATTACCTCAGATAGATTATAATCGAAATGCATATTGAACAGACTGCACAGAGAGGGATTGCCTGACCAAAGCGCATCCCCATGGCTCTCGGGACTGGTTAGAGCACACTCACGAAACTTCTTCCTGAAGCCAGAGAAGCTGTGCATCGTTTGTGTTTGTAATATCCTTCTCCAGACTTCTTGCCCAGCTTCTTCTCTGCTACCAGCTTATTTGGTGATGTGCTGGGCTGAAACAGTGGGTTCTTGGCATCCATTTCATGCCACCCATCCAGAATGAACTTTGTAGTATCCAGTCCAACATAATCAAGAAGCTCAAATGGACCCATAGGGTATCCAGCTCCCAACTCCAAATTGCAGTGTCAATGTCTTCCTTGGATGCATCTCCTCCTTCATGCATCCTGATCGCTTTTACAAGGTATGGCACCAGGAGATGGTGCACCATAAACCCAGGAGTGTCCTTGCAAGAAACTGGATGTTTTCCCAAGGCTTTGCTAAAGTCCACCAGAGATTCAAATGTCTTATGGCTTGTCATTGGTGTTTTAATGGCCTCTACGAGTTTCATCAGGGGCACTGGGTTGAAGAAATGAAGGCCGGCAAATCGGTCTTGTCTGGTAGTGGCATTGGCTATGCTTGTGATCTGCAAAGAGGAAGTGTTGCTGGCAAAAATTGTATGTTCAGCAGCAAACTTGTCCAGCCTTTGGAAGAGCTTGTTCTTCACCTTCAGATTCTCCACGATGGCCTCCACCACCAGGTCTGTGCTGTGGACGACAGATGCTGCATCTGTGCAGGTTGATATGCTGCTCAGGGTCTTCTCCACAAACTCATCACCAGCCTTAGGATTTTCTGCAAACTTCTTCTTTGACATTTTCCTAAGGTTTTCCTCAATACTGTTTTTTGGATTTTGCCAGGATGTCCTCAGTTTGGTCCACCAACACTACTGTGTGGCCACTTGCTGCAGCAACCTGGGCTATGCGGCACCCATCAGCCCGCCGCGGATGACCGTCACGTGCTTGACGATAATTTTCTTCCTCGAGGCCGAAGGACAAGGAAGACAAGGAGCGCAGGAACTTCCTGGTTACGAAAGCCATGATGCAGGGACGGCTCTATTTTGTATTTTACTTAGAGGCAGGATCTCACTGAGTTGCTTAGCTTCTCACTTTTGCTGAGGCTGGCTTTGAACTTGAGATCCTCCTGCCTCAGCCTCCCAAGCTGCTGGGATTATAGAGGTGAGCCACCACACCGGCTAGGTTTGCCTCATTCTTAATAGTTTGTCATTGTATAGATGGATTGGAATATTCTTAAACAGCCCCATGCTTCCAGTGTGCAGATAATAATGAATGATGTTACAATAAACATTTTTTATAGAGCTATCTTCACATACTTTCCTTAAGGTAATTTCCCAACAAGAGAAATATGGGGTCAATGGCATGCGGTTTTTTAAAGAACCCTAATCTTTATTTTCTCAATTTGATCAGAGGACAGGAAATCCTGATTGGTAGTTAACCATGGGTACTCCCACTTCCTTGTTTCTAATTTACTAATGCATTTTGCTCTTTTCAAAAAAGCATTTTCTCAGATGTGCTACTTGAGGTTGATGTGAACAGTGTTCTGACTGTAAGATCAAGACCAAACCTGCTATTTATGAGAAAACTTGTCTTTGGGTCTCAGGTCTTGGTGGTTCCGGTCTTCATGCTGCTGTGGGTGACTCTACTGGTTCTGGGTGAGTAGATGACTCAACATGAGCCTGGGTTGGGGTCTGGGAAGCTCCTCTCTCCACCTGGCCCTGGCCCTTTCTTGGGGCCCAGCACCTGCTCAGTCTTTCCCACATAAAGACACTGTATTTTAATGTTTTACTGTACAGCTCAGGGTTTCCTCTAGTGAATTCAAAGAAAGTGGTCACGGATGGAAAAAAAAAATCCTTCAATCTTACAGAGAAGGAACCCATAGCGCTCTATTAAGGTTTCACTTACATTTCTCTTAAACAGACACTTCATGAAGCCTTAGAAAGATATGTTGTGTCTGCTTGTTCTTAGTGTTTGATTCTGGGAACAGTCTACCCTCTTTCTGAAAAGGAGATGCATTTGTTCCTTGTATGACAAGGTCAGATCGTGGTGCTGGGCATGAGAGGGCAAGTCACAGCAGTGATTGACAGATTAAGAACACAATAGGGAAGGGGTAGACACAGAGGGAGGAGTGGGCAAGGCAAAACTTCAGGCACATGACATTCTCATTGTGCGTGTGCATAAGTCTCTGTGCAGTCACAGCTACGAAGTGGGTAGTTTTTTTTTTTTGCCAAGGTTTAAAGGTTAGAATTAAATGTTTATTAATTTGTTTGTCAAAACAAAATTTCAGTTATTGTCTATGGATAGCACTATCCCAGGTACTGGGGAATGATGAGAGGACGTGGGAGGTACCATTTCTGAGTGACCAGTGTGCAAGAAATAGCTATGGAACGGGATCCAGTGAAATCATTATGGAGATAAAGTTTCCAACTGATGGTGCAGGCAGATAATGAACGACACAACAAATGCTGATAACGACTTCATGAGACTCAGAGGGAAAGCAGGACGAGGAGGGGGAGGCAGGAGGGACAGAGTGGATATGATGGAGGAAAAGAGGACCCTACAGCTAGAAGGTGCAAGAGATGCTGGAATGTTCCAGAGACAGAAGCACTTCCTTGTGTGGCACCACACAGAGGGATAGAACAGGAGAATGGCCAGGGGCATGCACTTTGGGTTCAAAATGCAGTACTGTCGCCTATTAGCCGCTAAGCTTTCTGGCCTGTAAAATGGTTATAATCTTGAATAATCAAGAGAAGCGTCCCTCACTGGATAAGCAATCTGGAGAACATTAAACATCAGCACTCTCGCCCTGCCTTCTAAGATGCTGCACAACTTGTCCCATCAAAGGATACCCTCTGTCAGAGTGCTCCATCTAAGTGTCCAATTCTAACCTTGTCACAATCCTCCTTGAAAACTTTCCATGGCTCCCTGTGGCTTCTATCATAAAAATGGACCTGCCTTCTCAGGCCCTGCATTCCTTTTTAACCTTATTTTCCCTGTGGTGCCTTCCAGACACCACCCCTCCCCCTGGCCCCCCTTTCCCTACCCCGTAACTCCTGGACCAGTGTCACTCTTCACTCCTGTGCCCTTCCTGTTTTGATTACTCTTCCCACCATCTGTTGCCACACACAAACACTAACCCTCCCCTGGCTGATCCCTACCTTCTCATTCATAGTTTTCTCCTCCTCCAGGCGCTTCCGTGATCCACTCACCCTCTTCAACACACACACACACTCTCCGCACCTGGCTGGGTAGCCTTCCATCCTCCAATACCTCCCGTGTAATTCTGTTGTTGTACTTAGACCCTGGGTTATATCACCGGGCATCACGATTCTGTTTCTCCCACTGCTCAACGTTTTGCTAGCAGATACCATTTTTATTTGCTCTTATTAGTTATGCATGACAGTAGAATGTTATTTTGACATATTATGCATATATGGAGTATAACTTCTCATTCTTCTGGTTGTGCATGACTTAGAATTACATCGGTTGTGAAATCATATACGCACATAGGAAAGTGATACCCGATTGTTTCATTGTCCTGTCTTTCCTATTCCGACCCTCTCCCTTCCCTTCATTCCCCCTTGTCTAGTCCAAAGTATTTTTATTCTTCCCTACTCTCCTCCCTTCATGTGCACCCTCATATCAGAGGGAACATCTGGACTTTGGTTTGGGGGGATTGGCTTATGTCACTAGCGTGATAGTCTCAGATACCATTTTTAAATTTATGTTAGAAGTCTAAGCACTATGTTGTATATGAAGACATTTGAAAAATAACAATATTTTAGACATAATTTTCTTTTAATGGAAGAAATAATAAATGGATTGGGGAAAGGTATTATCCTTGAAAAACTGAAGAATCCATGCTCTGTGCTCATCTCTGGCTCTTTATTTTTATTATTTACTTACTTACTTACTTACTTATGTGTTTATGTGTTTATTCATTTATTGCAGCTCCTGTCAGTGAACAACTTGGTGAGTTCTCTCTTTTGCTCCTCAGTGTGTCTGGATAAGAGTGTCTCTCTAACATAAAACATTTGCCCAAAAACCCCTCCTATTTTCCATTTCTTTGCCAAGGCCGGCAAAGATGTGAAAAATGACACCTGGTCTCTTGGCATTGCTCAAGGGTTAGCATATCTTCATGGTCACCCTCTGCCCCTCCCTGGGTGAAGTGTTAGATCCACAGCCACTGACCTCGGCTGGGCCCTGAATTTATTCCTACTAGAACTGGACCCCACTTATCCATGAGGCACTCCTTCAGCTCCATGGTCAACGTGCAGGGCTGGGGATAGGATCTTCTCTAATCAGCAAGCCAGGAGAAATCCTCTGAAAACATCCCACTGTGAGATGCCGGCAAGAATACCCTAACCTTCACAGCTCTGGAAGTCAGTCCTCCAGGAAATGTGTGGGGACCAGGCCAGGCCTGAAGACGGACTGCCTGTATCAACATTTACTTTAGTTGTGACTCATATCACTCTTCGGGCCAGAGGGTGTCTTGGATATTCGAGAATCCATGAATAGCAAGAACTCCCTACATTTCCTCTCCTCATCCCAAATCAGCTGCTTCAACTGTACCCTAGGTCATCTCTGGATTCCAATAGATAATTTATCCATTTCTTGTCCTTCCATAATTAGCTATGCTGGGGGTTTTCTGGACATTTGAGTTATCATTTATAAAATGAAGCTGTTAGGCAACTTGATCTCTTAAGCTTTTCTCGGTAGCAAAAATCCCTCGATAGAATTATCTATTCTTTTAAGGAAAAGTGCAAAATTGTGATTTTAACAATGCCTGTGTAAGCTCTGTCTGTAATCAGATAGGGAACAGGAATTAGCTGAGTTTTGAACTTAAGATTAAGACAAATGAAATTATCTACATAAACTCATTCAGCCCGTCGGGCAGTGACTCCAAGTAGCATATCCAGAGGATGTAATTGTCACATAACAGCTAAAGGCTACAGATGACACAAACACTACAATTTCTTCAGAGTGAATTAATGTCTCTAAACCTGTGGTGTGTGTGTGTGTGTGTGTGTGTGTGTGTGTGTGATGACAGGGGTGAGGGTCATTTTCCCATGACCCACTTCCACCATAGGTAACTAACCACAGACATCGCAGTGAATCCTCTTGAATTCACATTGTTCCTTGCTACTCTCTCTTCCCCCGGGGAGGTGAGTGCTGCGGGTTGACATGCACCTTTGAATGATCAGTGACCCTCTCAGGGAGCCTCTTGGGTGCTGTCCAAAGCTAGGTCCTCCTGTCTATCCCACAAGAACCTCTGCTGCTGGGACTGTGGGCACTGCCACCTCAGACTCATTTTCTCTCTCCTCCTCCTCAGTAACTCCATCCAAATCCATAATTTCCCTTCAATTTCCATGGACCGTTTTCTTCCAAGGAGAGAGCATGGATCTGACCTGCAAAGGATCTAGTTCCCACTCCCCATGGACAACAAAATGGTACTTTGAAGGAAAAGTATTTAAAAAAAACCCAAAAAGCACCCTAAGGGTTCGTGAATCTGGAGACTACAAATGCCAGGCTGATGGCTTGCCTGTAAGCGACCCTGTGCACTTGGAATTCTCTACAGGTGAGACAGAAGTAAAAGAAATAAAAACCTTAGAAATGATTTCAGACCATTTTCTCTCAGGCTGCTGACACCATTCACTTGGGTCGACTCTTGAATGGACATTTTTGTTCCACATTATAGTTAAACAAGGAGGGCGTTCACAGGCTCTGTGTATAACCAGACAGGGGACAGAATTAGCTTCTTAAGTTTGAACATAAAAATTAAGAAAATTGATACTATCCAGATAAAATTCATGTAGCCCAATGGGCCGAGACTACGAGTAGTGTATCCAGAAGGATATCATTGCCACATAAGAGCTAAAGGTTATGGATGACCCAAACACTACCATTTCTTCAGAGTGAATTAAGGTCTTCGCACCCAGGCAGGATGTGATGTGGAAAGGGGGTGTTGTAGTTTCATGGTTTTGTGGGGGGGGTTGTTTGTTTGGGGTATGAGGGAATGGAATCCAGGGCCCTCTACTATTGAGCCACATCCGCATACCTTTTTTTATTTTTAATTTTGAGACAGTGTCTTGCTGAATCGCTCAGGCTGGCCTTGAACTTGCATTCCCCCTGCCTTGGTCTCTTGATTCACTGAGATTACAGACATACACCACCATGCCCAGCTAACCCTGTGGTTTTCAAAATTTGACCTCAGTCAGAAAGCCTGGGAAGGTTTTGGGTTTGGGGTTTTTTTTGGGTGTTCTTTTGCTTTGTTTTCAAAGGGACTTGGTACTGAGAATTGAATTCAGGGGCACTAGACCACTGAGCCACATCCTCAGCTCTATTTTGTATTTTATTTAGAGACAGTGTCTCACTGAGTTGCTTAGCACCTCACCATTGCCAGGACTGGCTTTGAACTCTCAGTCCTCCTGCCTCAGCCTCCAGAGCCACTGGGATTACAGGCATGCACCACCATGCTGGGGTCTGGGAAGGTTTTTAATCATACTCAGGCCCTACCTTATATTTACTGAATCAATATGTATAGACTTGCAGGGCACAGGGGCCCATGCCTGCAATCACAGCCACTTGGAAGAATGAGGCAGGAAGATCATCAATTCAAGGCCAGTCTGGGAAACTTAGCAAGATCCTGTCTCAAAATAAAATTTAAAAAGTGCTGAGGATGTTGCTCAGTGGTAGAGTGCTTATCTAGAATGTACAGGGGTCTGGGTTTATTCCTCAGTATTTCAAAAGAAATAACTTATGGGAGTGCAATTCAAGAATTATTATGTTTTATAAGCTGCTCAGGTGAAAGGAAATTTGGGTTGAAATTCATTTGAACAGTTCCTATACATTAAGGTGTGTAGTTTTAAGCCATATTACTTACTTGAAATAATAAGTGGTATAATGATTTGTCACATTTATAGCTATCGATGAAGAATTTCCTGTTTGTCCTAAAACCACCTGTTATAAAGTTGAAGTCATATCATCCCAGTTACAATGCCCTTTAATTTAGTGAAAAAGGAAACAGTGTAGTAACATAATAATTTCCCTCTTAAACATTTACCTATTAAAGGGATCATAAATATCCCCCAAAATGAAAGACCCTAAATGATCAAGAGAAGAAGATTCATTAAATGAATTACAATGCTGCCCCTAAAAGAAAACTGTCCCCCATTGAAAATCAAGCTCAGTAATGATATTACTGAGGGAAAATATTCTGACATAGTAAATAAAGGGCAATTTATCAAATATGTAAATATTATTCCAATTCAATAAAGGAGAAAAAAATACACAGAGACGCTCACATATTTGAACATGGAAGAAAAACAATTGGAAGCATCTCTGGGCAGTGAGATGGTAGATACTTTTTACTTACATTTCTACTTTCCAGCTTTTCTCAATTGCATATGTTCATTTTAAAATCCAGGGGGGAAATGATAAGTATTTTAAGAATCCTTGGAATAGTAATGAAAAGAAAGAGGAAACAGTGGGATGAACCAAATAACTGGTCTTATTTTTCCTACAGCTCCACTGATCCTACAGGGTCCACCTTATGTGTTCGAAGGAGACTCCGTGCTTCTAAGGTGTCGGACAAAAGCAAAAACTAAACTGAATACTGTAGCATTTTTTAAGAATGGTGAACTCCTGATATTACCTAATAATAGTTCTGATCTGCACATTGATGGTGCCGATCTGGTGCACAATGGTCACTATCACTGTGGTGGCTATATACACACGTGCTGTACAGCTTCTTCCAATAGAGTCAACATCCGAGTCCAAGGTAAGGCTTTCATTGTTTTGTAAGTGGGTTGGTGAGAAGGAGGGCGCCTGAGGTTGCAGAGGTAGACTAGGAAGAAGAGGGTGGGCTGGGGTGCCCTTGAGAGAAAGTGCAACTGTGCTCTTTGTGCTGATGGATGGCAGAACTCAGAAGTGGTGGTGCCACAGAGGTACTTTTCCCTCCAGTGCCTTTCCAAGCCTCACTCTTCTGGGGACTGCTGTGATCTTTCTTTCCAGAGCTGTTTACACATCCCGTGCTGAGAAGCAGCTCCTCTAAGCCCACGGAGGGAAGTCCAGTGACCCTGACCTGTCAGACTCAGCTCCCTCCAGAGAGGTCAGATGTCCAGCTCCAGTTCTGCTTCTTCAGAGACGGTCAGGCTCTGGGGTCAGGCTGGAGAATCTCCCCAGAGCTCCGGATTCCCGCCCTGGGGACAGAGGACTCAGGGTCCTACTGGTGCCAGGCAAAGAGAGTGAATTCCCACATTCTGAAAGAGAGTCGGAAGATCTCCATCCCTGTGCGGGGTGAGTCTCAGTGGGTCCTGGGATGGACAGGGGACGGGACTGGAAGAGTTGTGTGCAATTGCACATCAGTTTGGTTCGTGTGGAACGTGCTTCTTCCACGTGTGAGAATGGGAGCTGTGTGACGTGGACATCTTAGAAGAGTTTAGAGGGAAAAAAAGCTCAGGAAAAGAGAGACAGGGCTCATTTTTCTTTCGCTGCCTTTAGATACAACTCTTCCGTGAAAGCTCTCTTCCCTGATGCCCTGTATTTCCTGCTAGGTCTATAGTCATAAGCGATGGCTGGGCTGACTAGACTCTGCTCAGCCAAACGGACAGATTTGGAACACTAGGTGCCTGGAGGCAGAGTGCTGCAGGACAGGGAAATCCAAGGACAAAAGGTTGGGGAATAAAGGGTTCCAATTTGATGTCCCTGGGAATGGTGGTGTGCCCACTTTCATTTTTTCCAAAGTTTCTAAAATTGTAGACATTTTCAAGCATGACTCTCATCCAATGGCCAACTGGTTCCCTTTATGAAATTTGGTCTGTCTCATGGAAAATATATTTAAGCATTAGGAAGGGACACATGGTCTGTGGTGCCCAATTTCCTGAGTGAGCCGGGAACGGAAAGTGATAGCATTTCCCATAAATTCACCCCTGTTCCTAAGAAAAACAAAAGTCCAATGACACTTTCTTCTAAACTGACTAAATCCTATTAATCTTGCAGTTCCAGGAAGCAGAATTTTCTAAGGTCACTAGTTTAAGGACAAACAGTCCAGCGAAGGTGGAGAGGGGATTTATTGTCCAATAGTTAAAACGCAATAATTCCTGACAAAGTTTTCCCCCAACCTCAGGTTCTTCTCCCCCTCGGTTTAATGATCTTCCTTTGTTCTTAAAGACCTGAGGATAACTCAAAAAGCACTGCCCTCAGCCAACATCATTACCGAAAGCCCATCACAGATGAGCCTACTCGGCGGGACTGTCCTGGCCCCCAATCCTTTGACCTCATGTGTCACATGCTAGACAGGTTAAGAAGGGTGTGCTCAAGGGCAAGCCTTCTAAACATGTCAATAGTGTTCCTTTCCAATTAGCTGTGGCTGTCACTGAATCCCCAGGACAATCTCCTTTGATGCCAAGTCTCCCTGCCCCCTGCACACCCTGGTCATTTTACTCAGCTGTTTGGGCAGCAGATATCACCTCTGGGATGACTGACCATGTTCTATCAAGGTGTGGGTGGACATGAGAGCAGGATAGACGGAGCTAACTCTATTCCTAGGCTGGACTCTCCACAAGAACATTAGGAACTAGAGGACCTCCCTAGCCAAGCAGGGACCACAGCCTCTCCAACCGTCTCCCTGTTCCCAAGGACAAGGTAACTCCACTTCAGGCTAACCTCATATAGGGAATCAGCAGATTCTGCCATTTCCAGCCTGTGACTCTCCTCTATCCACGAGCACCCCACTGCTACGAGGCTCACGAATCTATATATTTTTAATTTACTTAGGAGTTACTGTCAAGGTCCAAATACGCACTGTCCCAGCCTTAGGACCAGTGTTTGAAGGGCAGAAGCTGACGCTCATCTGCTCAGTAGACAGGCTCCTGGGGCCCATCACGTTCTCCTGGTATAAAGTCAAGCTGGGGAAGGAAACAAAGATTCACACATCCTCAGAAGCAGAATTCAAGATCTCCATGGTGAAAGGCAGTGACGCTGGGGACTATTACTGTAAAGTCAACAGTAGTCACAAAAGTTTTACCAGCAGGCTGGTAACCATCAAGCCACGGGAAGGCGAGTGCTGCTGAGTGTCATCCAAGGAATGGATTACCAAACTGCACACAGGGGTCCTCTGTGCAGACCACAGGCAGCCGGGTGGGAGTGGACATTGACATCCAATGCTCTGAGAAACCTTCCAGGAGTTAGTCAGAGTCTAGCAGGAAAGAGCTAAGGACAGAAAGGGCTGCAGGCCGTGGGAAGTTTTGGAAACTCTCAGACATAGAGAATAAAGAAAACATTCAGTGGTGAGGAATATGTCTGCACCCTTCATATTTACCAATCCCTTTGCAGTTTAAGCAATGTTCAGTGCCTCTTAAGAATGAAAAGCAGAACAATTAGGATGTTAGAGTCAGGACTGATCTAGGGCCATGTCTCTTGACAAGGCCCTTGACTTAAGGATCTTCAGGGACCCTCCCTGCACACATGTAAATAGAGATGGTCAGAGAATGGCCACGGGCAAAGCCCTGAGACCAACCCTAATGAAGTGCCCCCAAGGACATCATCTCCTCTGCAAAAGGGGGACAGGTCACCTGACGAGGGTGGCAGGAGGGAAGAGGCAGGGGTCTGATGGAGAAGGAATAGACTGGAGCAGACCAGATGTGCCACAGTCTGGCTGGGCACAATTCAGGAGCCACTTGTCAAAAGAAACTAACTTTATTTTTAAGAACCACACAGGCCAAACAAAACAGCTCCTCAGAGCCCAACTGCCACCACCGGCTTCCCACAAGCCTCTCCCACCCCTACTCCTCCTGCTCTTGAGGCCGATTGGCTGGGTCGTATGGGCGGAGCCAAAAAAGTCCCTCAATGAGCAGCTCCATAGTCTGAAAGGGCGGGGAAATAGCCCAATGAGCATCACGGCAGAGGAGCCAATCAGCTAGATGTTGCTGGGGCTGCTGTGAGCCAATCATCAGCTGGCAGTCTGAAAGTTTGCTGGGGACCCTTGGGCTGTGGCTTTCAACACAGATGGAGGATGGGGAGGGATGGGGAGGGATGGGGAGAGAAGCCTGGGAGGTTGCTGGACCACCCTGAGGGCCAGGAGAGAATAGAGTCTGGCCATTTGCTCTGGCCACAGATGGGAATTACAGGGAAGAGGCAGAAGCAACGGTTGACCCATTTTCTCTCCCTCAGCTGCTGTGTCTCAGCCTGTCCTCACCCTCAACCCTGCTAAGAACTGGCTCCTTGAAGGAACCTGGTTGACACTTCACTGTGAAGTCCAGAGAGGTTCTCCCCCGATCCTGTACAAGTTTTATCATGATTCTGTCTCCCTGGGGAGCAGCTCAACCCCCTCTACAGGAAGAGCATCCTTGGGCATCTCTCTGACCGCACAACATTCTGGGTTCTACTACTGCACTGCTGATAATGGATTCAGCCCCCAGCGCAGTGAGGCTGTGAGGCTCTCCGTCTTGGGTAAGCCCTGAGTTCCTGCTAAGCCCATCCCCAGTCAGATCCCTCTCTCTCAGGCCCCTTCACAAGTCTGCGGGAACCTTCCTGCTTCCTATCACAATCAGCCTATCACCCTTCTGGACTCTCAGCAAACCTAGGCCTCAGAGCTTATCCATCCCTGGCTCAACCTGACCCCATGACAGCTCAGAGACTCCCCCAGCTTTTACCCAACACATTTCTTTTCACAAATCATCACTTCGTGCCCTCCGTCTTCTGAGCCAATTTTTCTTCACTTGACGCACAGATGCGTCACCTGTTTCTCCCTAACACACGTAGTTCAGCTGCAAGCACCGCCATGCGGGCAAATATTGGGCAACACCATAATTTCTCCAAAGAAGTCTCAAGCAGTTACAGCTCTCACAGTAGGTCTGCAGAGGACTGGGTGTGAAAGGAAAGAATATGACGATTCCAAAACCAGAGCCCCCAGCCTTAATGCATCCACTAACCCATTATAATGTTTTATTATGTCCTCACACTTAGCAATATCTAAAACCTCTCTACTTCCTGTTCCTTGTCTGTCTCCCTCAATGTCAATGGGATATAAGCTCTAAGAGTACAGGACCTCATGGTATAGGTCTTCCCTACCTCCCTGAGCCTAACAGTGTGTGACACTGGGCATTTGGAACTCTTCTATTCTTGTGCAAGAATAGAATAGTGTTTATCAGAGGCTGGGAAGTGGTCGGGGGAGAAGATGGTTAATAGGGGTGCACTTGGAAAGGGGGGATATTTCTAATGTTCTATGGCACATTGGGAGGGTACCTATGATTGACAACAACTAATTGTCTACTTCAAAATAATTAGCAGAGAAGATTTTGATGTTCCCAACACAAAGAAATAATGAATGTTTGAGGTAATGGATTAACTAATTATCCTGACCCTATACATGTATCAAAATAGCACACTATGCCCCAAATATAGATATGATTACTATGTCAATTAAAATTTTAAAAATTATAAGGAGAAAAGAAGATGACATAGTACTTTTATGAAGAAGAATTGCTACAGAAAACAGGAAAAAAAAAAACCTCTCAAATTCTTCTAGATAGTCTCAATACAATTAGAGAAAATATGGACTCAAAAAAAGTTCAAAAAATAAATTAAAGAGGTCAAAGAAGAGATGATAAGACGATAAAACAATAAGAAGAGATAAGAAAACCATTCAGCAGAACTCGGGAGAAACAAAGAAAATTACAAAGATGTTTTAGAAATAAAATCCAAATGTAAGGCAATAAGAATAGAAGAGATACCCCTAAAAAATGTTAATTGAATGAAGAATCATTATGAGAAAACAATACAGAATGCAAAACAGAAAAAGAGGCAAAAATATAATATGGAAATCAGACAATAGATACCCCATGTTTGGATAATTAAATGCTTCTAGTGGAAAAACATTTTAAAAACATTTTTAAAAATAAATAACAGATTTCAAAAACAGATTAGAAAACCAAACTGAAGAGAAAAACGAAACTCAAAGATGTAATTTGAAAATTTCCTAAAATGAAGAAAACATTAGCATGTACATAAGATTATCTCAATTAAGTTTTTGAACTTCAGAATTAAAGTGTGTGTGTGCGCGCACACGCGTGTGTGTGAAAGAAAGAGAGAGAAGAGAAGCAGAGGGGAAAGGAAGTGGGGTGGAGCGAGAGAGAGGGTTTTTGGAAAAAATGAGCAGTCATCTCAGAAAGAAAAATATCCAGTTGGTCCTTGACTTTGCACAATAGTCGATGCCGAAGAGAGAAGTGTGGTGTCCAGACTTGGACCTTGAGGAGAGGCATGAGAACGGAGAATTTTATATCAAACTGAAAAGTCACTGTCAAAAATGCAGAAACTCAGGGAATTTAGGGCCCTTTAACCATTCTTGAAAAAAAAAATTACTTCTTGAGAAAATCCAGCCCCTCAAGATGTGAATCAACATAAAGGACATATAATGAGGGAAACGTGATATGAAAATACAGACTGAACCTAGTAGATCAGAGTTTCCCAACCCTGGCTGCACATGAGAATCACCTGGGAACTTGGCAAAAATACCTGTCATTAAGCTCCTCTCCAAAGAAATTAAATTCAGAATTTCTCAAGTAAGACTTGAGAAACATTATTTTTTAACACATATTCAGGTGAGAATATTGTACCAAGAAGGTTGAAAACCACATTTCGATTGTGAAAACTATGGTTATGAATAGAAAACCACGGTTGGGGCTGTAACTTGGTGGTAGAGCGCTCGCCTAGCACGTGTGAGGCACTGGGCAAAACTCAGCACCACATAAAAATAAATAAATAAGATAAAGGTATTGTGTTCATCTACAACTAAAAAATCTATTAAAAGAAAGAATAGAAAACCATTACAAACACTGAGAATTTAAAAAATATATGTGTAATGAAGAAAAATCATCTGGTCAGAAGCAGGAGAAGAAGTAAAATAACAATTATTTTCTTGTGATCACTATTATTTCATAATGGGCAACAAAAAAGAATTGACTTGACAATTTTTTTAAAAATTAATGTTGCTTCCAAACAAATAATCATCTAAGGCGAGGAACACACCAATTGCCCTGATCTGATCATTACACATTGTATACAATATCAAAATGTCACACTGTACCCATAAATACGCACAATTACTGTATGTCAGTTAAAATGGAAAACGTTTTATAAAATTAATAACAAATTTCAAAATTTCCATTTTATAAATCATTTCTGAGTATTTTTAGAAATTCATTAATGGGTTAGTAAAGTTACATGGAAAACTAACTAGCAGCCTGTAGAGTCACACAGGAGAGAATGAGTGAATTATTCAAGTGGAGTGACTAGAAAAAGAGAATAAATAATAAATATAAACCTAACTGAAAAAGGTATGAGGAAACAGATACTTATTTGCCCCTAGTGCAGGTGTTAATTGGTCCCCAACATTTTAAAGAATAATTTATCATTATTTAAACTGTTCATATACCTCCTCCAAGAAATTCTACTTCTAAGAATTTATCCTAATGCATGCACAAATATATAATGATATATCTACAGGATCACTTAATGCAGTACTACACAAACATTTTAAAATTATGACCTAAACATTCATTCAGAAAGAATTGCTTAAGTATATTATAGTAAATCAACACAATGGAATATTCCGAGGTTTGTAAAGTAGGTAATATCTGTACAAAATTTTACATACATAAGAGTTGCCCTTTATTGTATATAAAGAAATATACTTTGAGGCTGGGGTTATAGCTCAGCAGTAGAGTACTTGCCTTGCACTTGTGAGGTACTAGGTTTAATTCTCAGCACCACATAAAAAATAAATAAATAAAATAAGTAAAGATATTGTGTCCACATTTAAAAAAATTCTAAAATATATATATATATATATATATATACAATATATATAAACTTGGTTCTTTTAAGTGAATGGTGCAGATCGTTTGTAAATACCACAGAAAGAGGCTCAGGGTAGGTTGCTAAGGCAGAAAGCAGGTTGCGGAAGAGTGTGTATTGTGATCCCCTGCCTGTGGTTTTCACTGTATTTATGTGTTGTTGTGAGTAAGTGTATTTGTACATAGAAACGGCTTAGAAAGTTATTAACACATACGCAACTGAGGAAATCTCTGAAAAATAAAAATAAGATAAATGATAGAATGTTTCTTATTTATTTTATATAATTCTGTAAATTTAACATTATTTTAGTGGAGAACTGTTTGAAATTTTTTTAAGAAGACACTAATGTCAGCTAACATGTTTTCTCTCCTCAGTTCCATTGTCCCGCCCTGTCCTTACACGCAGAGCTCCCATGTCACAGCCTGTGGTGGGGGACGTGATGGAGCTTCACTGCGAGGCCCTGAGCGGCTTACTCCCGATCACATACACATTTTACCGTGACGATATCACCCTGGGGAGAAGAGTGGCCTACTCTAGAGGAGGAGTGTCTTTCAGACTCCCTGTGACTGCAGAACATTCTGGAAACTACTTCTGTAAAGCCAGCAATAGTGCTCAGACCCAACACAGTGACACAATGACACTCACTGTCAGTAAGTTGACCTTTCCCACTAACAGCAGCAGAAGGAGCAGACCATAGCCCACCAGACCATGTAGGCGAGACTGGAGCTCAGAAGCACCCCCTGGGGGCTGTCATGGCAGGCCTGCTGCCTGCACAGCCACATGGAGAGCAGGTGTGCCTGGATTCTACAGGTGGAGGAGCGTGCACCTTCCTTTCCCAGCTGCACCTTCCTTTCCCAGCTGGACTTTCCTTTCTCCAGCTGTTCTTTGATTTCTCCAGCTGTACCTTTCTATCTCTAGCTATACTTTCCTTTTTCCACCTGTACTTTCCATTCTCCACCTGTACTTCCCTTTCTCTAGCTGTACTTTCCTTATTCGAGCTGTTCTTTCCTTTTTCTAGTTGGAGAATTATTTCTGAAGCTGTACTATACTTGCTATAGGTGTTCTTCCCTTTCTCCAGCTGTACTTTACTTTCTCTATCTGTACTTTACTTTCTCCAGCTGTACTTTCTTTTCTATAGATGTACTTTTCTTTCTCCAGCTGTATTTTCCTTTCTCTATCTGTACTTTACTTTCTCCAGCTGTACTTTCCTTTCTCCAGCTGTATTTCCTTTCTCCAGCTGTACTTTCTTTTCTATAGCTGTACTCTCCTTTCTCTATCTGTACTTTCCTTTCTCCACTTGTACTTTCCTTTCTCCAGCTGTTCTTTCCTTTCTCCAGCTGTACTTTCCTTTCTCCAGCTGTACTTTCCTTTCTCCAGCTACACTTTTATTACTCTAGCTGTACTTTTTATTACTAGCAGTGCTCTGAAGCCATTGTTATGAAAACGCACAAATTTCTCCCTAGCTTCTCCTGCACCTCTGTCAGAGCAACCTGGGTCCCATCCAGGACCCCTGCAAGGAAATTTTCCAACTTTCCTACTCTTGCTTTTTTACATGTCCCTTTCCATTCAGCAATATCACCAAGTCCCACTGTCTGGTCACATCTCACTGATCCACCTCCACCCATTGCTTCACCATTGATAATTTGAGAAAAGACTCAGCTACCAGGCTGTATCACAGAGATCACCAAAGACCTCCATGTATTTAGATCCCTTAACCATTTTCATCCCACCATCATTTTATGACTCTAATGACCACATGTCTATGTCCATGACCAACACCATGGCCTGTCCTTTTCCCACATCCATCATCCACTCCACATATACACAAGCCTCCAACCCTAAAAGACCATTTTAAGCACTTACTACTCACCATGACCTCCAGCCCTTCCAGCAACTTCTTCTGTCACTACTGTCCTCAGACCTCAACAGAACTCCCAGTTCAATCACTCTCCTAATCCCTTCCTAATCCACCTGCCAAGAATGCCCCCCCCTTGATTCCTACGATCAAGTTCAGTATTTGTCTATCTCTCCACCCAGTCAGTAACTATGCCCCCTTTCCCCCAGGTATGGAGCAGGGGATTCTTCTCCCGGTGTCAGTGAACATTTCCATTTGATCTCTAAATTCCATCCTCTCATGCATCCTCAGAACCTTCATGAAACCAACTATCCCTTTCTCACTCATGACTCTCTGCATCTCTCCTCATAGGCTCCTTCCGTGGGCATTTGACTTGCTCCATTTCTCTCACAGCTAGAAACACCATTGCTTGATCCTGCTCCATCCACTGCTCATGATGCCTCCTTCATCCAAATCCACAAGGCAGAAACTCAGGGGTGTTCCTTGAATCCTCTCTATCTCTATTGCCACCATCCTAGTCAGAGCCTTCATCATTTCAACTACTTCAGTGACATTTAACTACTCCTCAATTTCACATCTGCCCCCACTACTGTCCTTTTTGCATAACAAGGTCAGAATTCTCATACCATTGCTTAGTGAAGAAGGATCAAATTCCTCAGCATGGTGTGGGAAGCCCTGCCTGGCTCTCCAGCCTTCCCTCAGTGCTACTCCTACCTATGCCCACCTTCTTCCCAAACCAGAACCTTTGCACATACTGTCTACCTGCCTCATGTCCTCTTTCCTCCCTCTTCCCATGGTTAATTTCTAATGCCATGAGAAGCTTCCCCTGACTCATCTGTGCTAGATCCAGTCCCAGTATTCAACCTTTCTTAGCACCTGATCTTTGGTTTCAATTATCAATGCTTTGACTCTAAATTTCTGTTTTGTTCAGTTTCTGCCTACCATTTCCCTTGCATTGGAAGCTCTGAGAGCAGGGTCTATGTCTTTCTCACCATTGAATATCCATTAGATACAGCCATTGTTAGAACTTATGGATACCTTGTATTCAGTAATTTGTGAATAATTAAATATAAAAATGAGCAAATACACTGCAATGCCCATCCTCTTGTGAGTCCTGTTTCTAATGTAGCCCAGACTCAATTCCATCCCTGGTTATATATGCAACAGCTCTCTCCTCTCCTTCGTTTTCTGTTGAGCTGCTTTCTCCATCTCCCCTTCATCATTTGACTTATCAGATGCACAGGTTTCAATTTCATCCCTTTAGATTCCTCAAATATGCTTGGGTTTGTACATCTCAGTTCTCCAAACCACAGGTAAGAACTACACACATGTCAGTGTTTCCTGAGGTCTGAATAAGGTTCTGAGAATGTGTAAAGGATGAGCTCTCATTTGTGTCACAAGGTCATTAGAAAACAAGAAAATAACTTTCCTGTTTGAAATGTCTTTAGTGTGGAAGAATATATTCAATCAGAAAGGCTAATGGATGTTTTTCCTCCCCCAGTTTCATTGTCCCGCCCTGTCCTCACCCTCAGGGATCCCAGCGTCCAGCCTGTGGTGGGGGATGTGATGGAGCTTCACTGCGAGTCCCTGAGCGGCTCCCTCCCAATCACATACACGTTTTATCATGAGGATGTCACCCTGGGGAGCATAAAGGCCCACTCCAGAGGAGGAGCATACCTCAGTGTCTCTGTGACTGCAGAACATTCTGGAAACTACTTCTGTGAAGCCAGCAATAGTGCTCAGACACAACGCAGTGACACAATGACACTCACTGTCAAAAGTAAGTTGGCCTTTCCCAGTAACAGCAGCAGAAGGGACAGACCATTGCCCCACCAGCCCCAGTAGGCAAGACTGGAGCTCAGTTTCCACAGAAGCACCCCCTGGGGGCTGTCATGGCAGGCCTGCTGCCTCACAGCCACATGGAGAGCAGGTGTGCCTGGATTCTACAGGTGGAGGAGCGTGCACCTTCCTTTCTCAGCTGTACCTTCCTTTGTCTAGCTGTACTTCCCCTTCTTCAGCTGTACTTTCCTTTCTCTACCTGTGCTATCCTTTCTCTAGCTGTACCTTCCTTTCTCTAGCTGTTTGTTCCTTTCTCTAGCTGTACTTTCCTTTCTCTAATTGTGCTTTCCTTTCTCCAGTTGTACTTTGTTTCAACTGCTGCACTTTCCTTTTTCCAGCTCTACTTTCCTTTCTCTAGCTGTACTATTCTTTCTCTAGCATTTTTTTCCTTTCTCTAGCTGTACTTTCCTTTCTCTAGGTGTACTTTCCTTTCTCTAGTTGTACTTTCCTTTCTCCAGCTGTACTTTCCTTTCTCTCACTGTACTTTTCTTTCTTTAGCTGTACTTTCCTTTCTCTAGGTGTACTCTCCTTTCTCCAGCTGTACTTTCCTTTCTCTAGATGTACCTTCCTTTCTCCAGCTGTTCTTTCCTTTCTCTAGCTGTAATTTCCTTTCTCTAGCTGTTCTTTCCTTTCTCTAGCTGTACTTTCCTTTCTCCAGCTGTACTTTCATTTCTCTAGCTGTAATTTCCTTTCTCTAGCTGTTCTTTCCTTTGTCTAGCTGTAATTTCCTTTCTCCAGCTGTACTTTCCTTTCTCTAGCTGTACTTTCCTTTCTCCAGCTGTACTTTCATTTCTCTAGCTGTAATTTCCTTTCTCTAGCTGTTCTTTCCTTTGTCTAGCTGTAATTTCCTTTCTCCAGCTGTACTTTCCTTTCTCTAGCTGTACTTTCCTTTCTCTAGCTGTACCTACCTTTCACCAGCTGTACTCTCCTTTCTCCAGCTGTACTTTCCTTTCTCCAGCTGTACTTTCCTTTCTCTAGCTGTACTTTCCTTTCTCCAGCTGTACTTTCCTTTCTCTAGATGTACCTTCCTTTCTCCAGCTGTACTTTCCTTTCTCTAGGTGTACTCTCCTTTCTCCAGCTGTACTTTCCTTTCTCTAGATGTACCTTCCTTTCTCCAGCTGTACTTTCCTTTCTCTAGCTGTACTTTCCTTTCTCCAGCTGTACTTTCCTTTCTCTAGATGTACCTTCCTTTCTCCAGCTGTTCTTTCCTTTCTCTAGCTGTAATTTCCTTTCTCTAGCTGTTCTTTCCTTTCTCTAGCTGTACTTTCCTTTCTCCAGTTGTACTCTCCTTTCTCTAGCTGTAATTTCCTTTCTCCAGCTGTACTTTCCTTTCTCCAGCTGTACTTTCCTTTCTCCAGCTGTACTTTCCTTTCTCTAGCTTTACTTTCCTTTCTCTAGCTATACTTTCTTTTCTCCAGCTGTACCTTCCTTTCTCTAGCTGTACTTTTCTTACTAGCAATGTTCTGTAGCCAATGTTATAAAACCTCACATATTTCTCCCTAGCTTCTCCTGTTTTCTGCCAGAAAAACTTCGGCTCCCATCCAAGACCCCTGCTAGGAAATTTCCAAACTTTCCTACTCTTGCTTTTTTACATGCCCTTTTCCATTCAGCAATATCACCAAGTCCCACTGTCATGAGCTGAGCATCTGGTCACATCTCACTGATCCACCTCCACCCATTGCTCCACCATTGCTAAATTTGAGAAAAGACTCAACTACCTGTTGTATCACAAAGATCACCAAAGACCTCCATGTATTTAGGTCCCTTGGCCATTTACATCCCACCATCATTCCATGACTCTAATGACCACATGTCTATGTCCATGACCAACACCATGGCCTGTCCTTTTCCCACGTCCATCATCCACCCGACATATACACAGGCCTCCAACCCTAAAAGACCATTTTAAGCACTTACTACTCACCATGACCTCCAGCCCTTCCAGCAACTCCTTCTGTCACTACTATCCTCAGACCTCAACAGAACTCCCAGTTCAATCACTCTCCTTCTCCCTCCCTAATCCATCTGTCATGAACCCCCCCCCCTGATTCCTACCATCAAGTTCAGTATTTGTCTATCTCTCCACACAATAACTATGCCCCCTTTCCCCCAGGTATGGAGCAGGGGATTCTTCTCCCTGTGTCAGTGAACATTTCCATTTGATCTCTACATTCCATCCTCTCATGCATCCTCAGAACCTTCATGAAACCAATTATCCCTTTCTCACTCACAACTCTCTGCATCTCTCCTCATAGGCTCCTTCCGTGGGCATTTGACTTGCTCCATTTCTCTCACAGCTAGAAACACCATTGCTTGATCCTGCTCCATCCACTGCTCATCACACTTGCTCCATCCAAATCCACAAGGCAGAAACTGAGGGGTGTTCCTTGAATCCTCTCTATCTCTACTGCCACCATCCTAGTCAGAGCCTTCGTCATTCAATGACATTTAACTACCTCTCAATTTCACTTCTGCCTCCACTACAGTCCATTTTGCATAACCAGGTCAGAATTCTCATACCATTGCTTAGGGAAGAAGGATCAAATTCCTCAGCATGGTGTGGGAAGCCCTGCCTGGCTCTCCAGCCTTCCCTCAGTGCTACCCCCACCTATGCCCACCTTCTTCCCAACCCAGAACCTTTGCACATACTGTCTACCTGCCTCGTGTCCTCTTTCCTCCCTCTTCCCATGGTTAATTTCTAATGCCATGAGAAGATTCCCCTGACTCATCTGTGCTAGATCCAGTCCCAGTATTCAACCTTTCTTAGCACCTGATCTTTGGTCTCAATTATCAATGCTTTGACTCTAAATTTCTGTTTTGTTCAGTTTCTGCCTACCATTTCCCCTGCATTGGAAGCTTTGAGAGCAGGGTCTATGTCTTTCTCACCATTGAATATCCATTAGATACAGCCGTTGTTAGAACTTATGGATACCTTGTATTAAGTAATTTGTGATGAATACATATAAAAATGAGCAAATACACTGCAATGCCCATCCTCTTGTGAGTCCTGTTTCTAATGTAGCCCAGACTCAATTCCATCCCTGGTTATATATGCAACAGCTCTCTCCTCTTCTTCGTTTTCTGTTGAACTCGTTTCTCCATCTCCCCTTCATCCTTTGACTTATCAGATGCACAGCTTTCAATTTCATCTGTTTTCAGATCCCTCAAATATGCTTGAGATTGTACATCTCAGTTCTCCAAACCACAGGAAGTTACTGCAAACATGTCAGTGTTTCCTGAGGTCTGAAGATGGTTCTGAGAATTGTAAAGGATGAGCTCTCATTTGTGTCACAAGGTCATTATAAAACAAGAAAATCACTTTCCTGTTTCAAATGTCTTTAGTGTGGAAGAATATATTCAATAAGAAAGAGCTAATGGATGTTTTTCCTCTCTCAGTTCCAGTGTCCCGCCCTGTCCTCACCCTCAGGGATCCCAGCATTCAGCCTGTGGTGGGGGATGTGATGCAGCTTCACTGCGAGTCCCTGAGCGGCTCCCTCCCAATCACATACACGTTTTATCATGAGGATGTCAACCTGGGGAGCAGAAAGGCCCATTCTAGAGGAGGAGCATCCTTCAGTCTTGCTGTGACTGCAGAACATTCTGGAAACTACTTCTGTGAAGCCAGCAATAGTGTTCAGACACAACGCAGTGACTCAATGACACTCACTGTCAAAAGTAAGTTGGCCTTTCCCAGTAACAGCAGCAGAAGGGACAGACCATTGCCCCACCAGCCCCAGTAGGCAAGACTGGAGCTCAGTTTCCACAGAAGCACCCCCTGGGGGCTGTCATGGCAGGCCTGCTGCCTGCACAGCCACATGGAGAGCAGGTGTGCCTGGATTCTACAGGTGGAGGAGCGTGCACCTTCCTTTCTCAGCTGTACCTTCCTTTGTCTAGCTGTACTTCCCCTTCTCCAGCTGTACTTTCCTTTCTCCAGCTGTACTTTCCTTTCTCCAGCTGTACTCTCCTTTCTCCAGCTGTACTTTCCTTTCTCTAGCTGTACATTTTTACTAGCAATGTTCTGTAGCCAATGTTATAAAACCTCACATATTTCTCCCTAGCTTCTCCTGCATTCTGCCAGAAAAACTTCGGCTCCCATCCAGGACCCTTGCTAGGAAATTTTCCAATTTTCCTACTTTTCCTGTTTTACATGTCCCTTTCCATTCAGCAATATCACCAAGTCCCACTGTCATGAGCTGAGCATCTGGTCACATCTCACTGATCCACCTCCACCCATTGCTTCACCATCGCTAAATTTGAGAAAAGACTCAGCTACCTGGTTTTATCACAAAGATCACCAAAGACCTCCATGTACTTAGATCCCTTAAACATTTTCATCCCACCATCATTTTATGACTCTAATGACCACATGTCTATATCCATGACCAACACCATGGCCTGTCCTTTTCCCACATCCATCATCCACTCCACATATACACAGGCCTCCAACCCTAAAAGACCATTTTAAGCACTTACTACTCACCATGACCTCCTGCCCTTCCAGCAACTCCTTCTGTCACTACTCTCCTCAGACCTCAACAGAACTCCCAGTTCAATCACTCTCCGACTCCCTCCCTAATCCATCTGCCAAGAATACCTCTGACTCCTACCATCAAACTGAGTATTTGTGTATCTCTCCACACAATAACTATGCCCCCTTCCCCCCAGGTATGGAGCAGGGAATTCTTCTCCCGGTGTCAGTGAACATTTCCATTTGATCTCTACATTCCATCCTCTCATGCATCCTCAGAACCTTCATGAAACCAATTATCCCTTTCTCACTCATGACTCTCTGCATCTCTCCTCATAGGCTCCTTCCGTGGGCATTTGACTTGCTCCATTTCTCTCACAGCTAGAAACATCATTGCTTGATCCTGCTCCATCCACTGCTCATCACACTTGCTTCACCCAAATCCACAAGGCAGAAACTGAGGGGTGTTCCTTGAATCCTCTCTATCTCTATTGCCACCATCCTAGTCAGAGCCTTCATCATTTCAACTACTTCAATGACATTACTCCTCAATTTCACTTCTGCCCCCACTACAGTCCATTTTGCCTAACCAGGTCAAAATTCTCATACCATTGCTTAGTGAAGAAGGATCAAATTCCTCAGCATGGTGTGGGAAGCCCTGCCTGGCTCTCCAGCCTTCCTCAGTGCTACCCCCACCTATGCCCACCTTCTTCCCAACCCAGAACCTTTGCACATACTGTCTACCTGCCTCATGTCCTCTTTCCTCCCTCTTCCCATGGTTAATTTCTAATGCCATGAGAAGCTTCCCCTGACTCATCTGTGCTAGATCCAGTCCCAGTATTCAACCTTTCTTAGCACCTGATCTTTGGTCTCAATTATCAATGCTTTGACTCTAAATTTCTGTTTTGTTCAGTTTCTGCCTACCATTTCCCCTGCATTGGAACTGTGAGAACAGGGTCTGTGTCTTTCTTACCATTGAATATCCATTAGATACAGCCATTGTTGGAACTTATGGATACCTTGTATTCAGTAATTTGTGATTGATTAATTAAATATAAAAATGAGCAAATACACTGCAATGCCCATCCTCTTGTGAGTCCTGTTTCTAATGTAGCCCAGACTCAATTCCATCCCTGGTTATATATGCCACAGCTCTCTCCTCTCCTTCGTTTTCTGTTGGACTCGTTTCTCCTTCCCCTCTTCATCCTTATCAGATGCACAGGTTTCAATTTCATCTGTTTTCAGATCCCTCAAATATTCTTGGGTTTGTACACCTCAGTGCTCCAAACCACATGTGTGTAATAACACATGTCAGTGTTTCCTGAGGTCTGAAGAAGGTTCTCAGAATGTGTAAAGGATGAGCTCTCCATTCGTGTATCAAGGTCATTAAAAAACAAGAAAACCACTTTCCTGTTTGAAACGTCTTTAGTGTGGAAGAATATATTCAATCAGAGAGGCTAATGGATGTTTTTCCTCTCCCAGTTCCAGTGTCCCGCCCTGTCCTCACCCTCAGGGATCCCAGCGTCCGTCTTGTGGTGGGGGATGTGATGGAGCTTCGCTGCGAGGCCCTGAGCGGCTCTCCTCCGATCCTGTACAAGTTTTATCATGAGGATGTCACCCTGGGGAGCACAATGGCCCCCTCTGGGGGAGGAGCCTCCTTCAACCTCTCCCTGATGGAGAAACATTCTGGAAACTACTCCTGTGAGGCTGAGAATGACCTGGAGATCCAGCACAGTGAATTGGTGACTGTCATCGTCACAGGTGAGCCTGCTGTGCCCACCAGCAGCACAAGGGAGACCTGCCTGTGCCTTCCCTTCCAACAGCACCAAATGAAGGTGCAGCGCTCCTCGGGCTCCTGTCTGGTTGCCTTCCCAGCCTCTTCCTGTCTGCAGAGCCCCTGTTTGAACATCTGAGGTCCCTCCTGAGGTAGAGTTTCAGGAAGCCCGACCTTCCCAACAGCACATTTCTCCTTCAGTGTGATTAAAGCTCTCTCTGAAAATACTGAGAAGACATTTTTTACAACACAGACCCCATCCTGACCTGATATTATGATACAAAGGAAATGCCCAAGAATTCTGAGGATAGGTTTCTCTGCTTCTCCCAAATATTAGACCCTTCCCTGCCTGGGTCCTTCTCTCCATGACTTCCAAGAAGCTTCTACTCTTGAGTTCACTTCATTCCCAGGAATAGAAATTTTATTCATATTCCATATTAAAATCCTATGCTAACATTAGCACAGCCTCTCAGCCTTTGGGTCCTTAAAGGAAGAGCACAGGTGACAGGGGCAGAGGAGGGGACAGCAGGATGACATGGGATAAAAATAGCCCCCATCAATTAAATTTGTCTTCTCTAAGCTGTCCTTTCACCCCTTACCATTAAGTGTAATAACCAAAGGAAAACTGCTTCTTTTGAGCTTTTAATCTGTTTGGCGATGACCTTTAAAACCTTGTTTAGGGAGACCTAGGGTAAAGAAAGTCTGCTTAGGGCTGTTAAGATGAATGTTCTAGACTTGGCTTTAAAGATTAACTTCCTATATGACCTTTACCAAGTATCTTTCCTATACTGACCTCAGTTTCCTCACCCGTAAAGTGGGAAATCCGGCTAGATGGAAATCGTGTCATAATTTCCCTGTCCTAGATGGAAATTGTGCCATAATTTCCCATAATTTCCTGGACAGGGAATATAGAACATACAGACACAAAGTTTCCTAGAAGGATTCATGCAAAAGGAGAAGAGGGTTGTCCCTACCTCCGGGATACGTCCCAGGAACGGGAGACTATGCTATGGTATACGAGCACCCCCTGAGCCAAACATAGGTTTACACTCTTGGTCTTTCTTGGCTGAATTGCTAAGTATCTTGAGGATTAGAGACAAAGTTAAATAAACAGGATAATTTGGGACTGCTAGCTCAGGATCCAGTCTCTACTCGAGGTAGCCAGTGCAGTGATCTCTAAGTCACCGGGAGGTGAGCTGATTTGAGGTGTGGTTTCTCCCATTCAGCCAGTTCATTTGTTCTCTGCTCTATGTTCTCTCCTGTCCCAGTAGCACCTGCCTCAGTCCTCTGAACTGGGACTGTTGATCATCCTTCTTCCCTTGTTCCTATGATTCCCTGGCACAAACACCTGTTATTCTGCTGCTATTATCAACCTAGCTAAAGAGTTTCCTGAACATCCTGGATAAATTGTGTCTGAGTTCCAGAGCTAGGACCCAAGTCATGGAGAACAGCAACCACCCAGAAGAGCAGACTGGGAGGCAGTTTCTCTTCTCTATGACGTGTGTCCTAGTTTCAAGATCCATATCATGAAATTTTATCTGAATGTTAAAAAAATCCAGTATTACAAAAGGACCAACGTTGTAAAGGCCTACTTCTTTCTTTCTTTTTAAAATGTATTTGTTCTTTCTAGATATACATGGCAGTAGAGTGTATTTTGGCATATTATACATACATAGAATTAGTATAACTTAATCAGATAGGTCTGATTCATCCTACTGTCTTTTCTATTCCCATCTCGCCTCCCTTCCCTTCATTCCCCTTTGTCTGTCCAAGGAACTTCGAATCTTCCCCTTCCTTGTTGTGACTTAGCATCCATATATCAGAGAAAACATTCTGTCTTTTTTTTGGGGGGGGGACCAGCTTATTTCACTTAGCATAATATTCTCCAGTTCCATCTATTTACCATATGCCATAATTTCATTCTTCTTTATGACTGAGTAATATTTGATTGTGTATATATACCACTTGTTTTTTTAATCCATTCATCTGTTATAGGGAACCTAGGTTGGTTCCATAGCCTGGCTATTGTGAATTGAGCTGCTGTAAACATTGATGTGGCAGCATCACTATAGTATGCTGACTTTATTTTTATTTTTTATTTATTTTTTTTATTGGTTGTTCAAAACATTACAAAGCTCTTGACATATCATATTTCATGCATTAGATTCAAGTTGGTTATGAACTCCCAATTTTACCCCAAATACAGATTGCATGCTGACTTTAAGTCCTTTATATAAACCGAAGAGTGGGATAACTGGGTCAAATAGTGGTTCCATCCCAAGTTTCCTAAGGAATCTTCATACTTTTTCCGGAGTGGTGGTACCAATTTGTAGTTCCAACAGCAATGTATAAGTGAACACAAAGGTCTCTTTCCAACTTCTCTTCTCCTAGATATAACTACCTGTTAACTGTTTCATGAGTATTTTCCATAAATATTCTATGAACATTGAGGCACAGAATATGTTTACCCAAGTAGGATCATATTACATATATAGTTACCCAACTTCCATTTTTCACTTAAAAATACACCTATGCATCTTAGCTAGGTCTTTCATTATTGCATTATTTGGTCTACCAGGTTATTTCTGATATTTAGCTATTATAGAAATCCTTATACAAACAATTTTGACCTACATTATGTCAGTATCCCTAAAGGAGATGGTCCTAGAAGTAGTTTTGCTGGGTCAAGCTTTCAAAGTGTTTTAAATTTGGTAGATATTTCCAAATTGTCAAAAAAGTGTCTTAAATTTGCTTTTTCACCTAGTCAGTAACAAGGTGCCTGTTTACCTTGTAGGTATTATCCATCCATTTGGGCTGTGCCAATCGGGTGAGAAGGAAAAGGAATTGTATTCAGGTTGTTTTTACTTGCATACATGTAATGTATTCATAATGAAGATAAAAGTCTTTTTATATTTACTGACTATTTGAAGTTTCCATCACTTTCTACATTTTTCTATTGAATATTACTGTACATGAAAAGGTATTTATGGATCAAAGTCATTAACTATGGCTTGTTTTAATCCATTTTCAGAGACTGAGCTCTAACGTTTTTCCGTTTGTTTGTAATACTTTTCTTTTTTCTTACAAATATGTTAGAAGCAGAAACTGCCATGGACATTTTGTTTTGTCTCAGTTCCAGTGTCCCGCCCTGTGCTCACCCTCAGGGCTCCCAGGGCCCAGGCTGAGGTGGGGGACGTGGTGGAGCTTCACTGTGAGGCCCTGAGGGGCTCTCCCCCGATCCTGTACCAGTTTTATCATGAGGACGTCACCCTGGGGAACAGCTCGGCGCCCTCTGGGGGAGGAGCATCCTTCAACCTCTTCCTGACTGCAGAACATTCTGGAAACTACTCCTGCGAGGCTGACAATGGCCAGGGTGCCCAGCGCAGTGAGGCGGTGGCACTTTTCATCCCAGGTAAGTTTCTTATGCCCAGGGCACAGGTGTGAGCCAAAAATTTCCTCCAAGGACCCTCTGGTCATTCTCATGGGCTTTACCAAGAGGGTGCTTCCCAGGTACACTAAGCTGGTAGCTCTATAAACTGATATATTTCCAAATGTTTCTCCAGTGATGGCACTTGTGGTGGGGGCAGGGACAAAGAGTATCATCAAATTCAGGGTTTATCTGCTGGCTCTTCTCTCACTGGCCACTGTCCATCCCAACCCTCAGCCTTGTCTCAATCATGGCAACGCACTGCCTCACAAAGCCAGGAGCCATGTCCTGTGCCACACCAACACCCGCTTCGCCTCAGGGATTCTGGGCCTCTAGGCTCGTCCTGTCTCCCAGGCCAGGCACCAGCTTCAGGGGGCAGAGCAGCTGAAGGCCACAAGCCTCTGTCTTGGGCTCACGCATGGGGTCTCCCTGTCAGGGCTAACGGAAAGCCGAAGTGGTCCTGTAGCCCCAGGAGTCACTGGGGGGCTGCTGGGGACGGTGGTCCTTGCTGCTGGCGCACTGCTCTTCTACCATTGGCTTTCGAGGAAAGCAGGTAAGAAGCTCCTGGCTCACCTCCGCTTGAGCCCATCCCTCCTCTGTCTTCCTTCAACCTCAGGCCGACTGTGTGACCATACCCCAGGCTTTCAAAAGCTCCTCTCCTTCCACCCCGCAATCCCTCTTCACCTTTCCCATTGGGTCCCCCAACGCCCTCTTTACCAAAACTGAAACTGCTGAAAGAGCCGTGTTAGTGGAGCAAGCCTGGGTGACATGCAGCTTATCCAACCCCCCAAATTGCAACATGCCTCCCTGGGTATCTACAAAGACCCCTAAGGGATGGGAAGAGGAGGACATCAACTCTGAGAAACAGAAGTGAAAAACAGAAGCCAAATAGGAGTTGGTAACTTGTTGATTTTTTTAAAAATGCACAGTATGTTTGTAGATGATAAAGTCTATTTTCCTGCCTTGCAGTTATTAAACTGCCTGTCATTTTTAAAGATCACTCTTTAAAAACTCCAAGTTAAAGGCCTACAGTTTATGTAGACTCCTATTTCACATTAAAACCATACTCCTTTGGAGGCCAGGGTCAGTTGTTTAGTAGCTTGGGTCCCATATATCACCTCCCTTGGGAAGGATTCAGACTTTATTGACAGCAATGCCTGGTGATTTCTATGTAAGTCTCCTGCGGCTGGCCCCCTAAGAAGGTCTTCTTTTCCTAAATCAAATACCTCTGTGCTTTCTTTCACAGGGGGACGGACTGCCTCTGACCCCTCCAGGTAAGACCTGGGCTGTGTTTCCATGTAGTTAATGAAATTCCCATGGGGTATACAATGGAATTGAACCTAATTATCACCAAGAGCCCAGTTTCTGCTGTATGATGCTGAGATGGGTGGTACCCGCTTCACGTCGCCACTTCTGTTGGGATACCTCAAGGCAATTCCCAGGACCTTCCCATCCACCACTTTAACTGTATAGGTATTCTTTTCACATCAAGTATCCATTACTTTTTATTTCTCAGCTCACATCCTTATACAATCGCACCTAGTTCTTGGCTTGTTTGAGTGACCACTATGACCCCTGAGTCCATCCATGTCTTGAGATGACTTAGCTTAATTAACCTGGAAATCTCTGGACTTGGCCAACATAATCAAGACCTGTTGTGATGACAGCCAAAAAGATAGAGCCACATAACTTGGTCACCCAGTGAAGTCACTCTGCCAGCTGAAGAAGGGCCACTGTCTTGGATCCTTAAGGCTGACTTCAGTAGCCACACTGTGGCTCAACACTATCCCCGGGCAAGCCCCTGGTAGCAGTGGTAGCAGTATCCGAACCATCCAGAGTTCCTAAGACCTTTTCTGATTCTGATCTCTGTGGAAGTAGAGGTTCTGGAGCCTGGTTTGAATTTTGGTTTTTCCCCTTTCTGGTCACATGGTCATGGTCAATCACTTCACCTTGTAAAACCTCCATTATTTTTTTTATCTGTAGAATGGAGATAAAATAGAACTAACTTAATATTGCTCTAAGTACAGTGCTTGTTACATACCTGGTGGCCATAAAGTCTGGGAAAACATATATTATGAATTCCTCATGATTCGTAGTCATGAATATGATTCCAGGCTTGACTGCCCATTATGTGGTAAAAACTCACTGAGAGGGATCACCATAGCCACTGTGTCAGGCCCCTGGGAAACACCAGTGTTTCTGTGTCTCACAGGCATTCTTCAGACTCCAACCCCCAGGACCCCACCTACCACAATGTGCCAGGATGGATAGAGCTGCAGCCAGTGTACATGAATGGTGAGGACCAGGGACACGCCGTTTGGGCTGGGCCACAGGGTCGGTGTGGGAAAGAGCTGGTACCGGAGGTGAGGAGCGACAACCCACAGACCCAGAAGGTTTCGTCCTTTTGGACAATAAACAGGCTGGGGAGGAGGACAGGGCTCAGATAAGAGGCAAGCTCCTTCCTCTCCTCTGACACGTCAACTTCTCTCTAAGTAAATTCTAGAGGAGAAGACGTGGTTTACTCTGAAGTGTCGTGCCTCCAGAAGGAAAGCAGAAATTCAGGTAAGAGCAGAGGAAGCACCTGTTCTGGCCAACCTTCAAGCTTGACAGCCTACTGCTCCATCTCCTCCTCCTCAGAAGGTCTGGGCCAGCCAGACACAGAGCCAGCTGCCCCCCAGCCTAGTTCACTGGGGCTTCTTAACTTGTGCCTACACTGTTTGGGGTTAACCCAAGCCCATCATATGGTACTGCTTTCTCTGTCCTCAACTGCTGGCCTCAGTACAATCTAACTAAGTACAGAACCATCACCTTGGGTAGTCATTGAACCCCTCTGTAAAGCTGTTTGTTTATAAAATGGAGCAGGACTATTATTCTCTGCTGTCGTATTTTGGGCTTCTATACAGAATACTATAGACTGGTTGGCTTACAAAATAAGCATTTATTGTTCACAGTTCCCAACATGGTCAGGTTCCCCTCTTCCTCTTCCTGGTTTGCAAACAAGAGCTTTCTTGCTATATCCTCTCATGATAGAGAGATCATCTTTCTTGTGTCTCATTTTCTAAGGACGCCAATCCCATCATGGCAGATCTAAGATACATCTAAGATATATATATGTGTGTGTGTATATACAAATGATCTAACATATATTTAAGATATAGATTGATGATTGATAGATTGGTCGGTAGACAGATCAATCCCTTAGAACAGGGCTATATAGGGGTGTAAATAAAAATTGTGTATATATAGAAAGAGATCTTAGAGAGAGATACATATATATGATCTAAGATATATATTTATATCTAAGATCTCAGCTATATATTTCCTTAGAACTAGGATACAAATAAATATCTATAAGTATATATTTATCATATGTATAAATATCTTAGATATCCCTTAGAACTGTACCTGTAGCATAAATAGATATAGAAAGACATAACTGTAGTATACTTGCATATGATAGAGTTTGTTTTCTTTTTTTTTCAAAATTTATTTATTTATTTTTAGTTGTAGGTGGATACAGTATCTTTAATTCCTTTTTATGTGGTGCTGAGGATCGACCCCAGTGCCTCACGCGTGCTAGGAGAGCACTCTACCGCTGAGCCACAACCCCAGCCCCGAGTTTATTTTCTTTATAGCACTCAGAACTGTACCTGGCACACAGAAACTGCTCAACACGTGGTAGATGATAGAAATTATCCATCTAAAACCAGGTGCACAGTATGTACCTGTATCATATAGATGCATACATCTCTACAATAAGCCCAGAGGCAGATGACATGCTGATTCTCATCATATAGACTTGACAACTGAGGCAGGAGAGGTTGAGTGACTAGCCCCAGACCACCGGGGTGGCAAGGCAGACCCAGGGCTCCATCCCAGGTAGACAGGACTCGGAATCTCTCTTCTCTGCTTCAGACAATGCTCCATAATATGTGACATGACTCTAAGATCAAGGAACTACCAAGGTCAAAGGTGAAGCCCTTCTTTTGAGAGCTTCTGGAAGCTCAGAGTGGGGAACAAAGTGTGAGGTGGTGCTGAGGAGGGGGCTGGTCAGCGCTCCAAGGCTGAGGACAAAATGGGCAGTTGCTGGACAGGAGAGGTCCTAGGGTGGAAAGGACTGGCCTTATAGCACTGGGCACAGGGACAGCTCTGAGTGGGCCTCCACAGCTGAGCACTCCCCTTCTTTCCACAGCGGCCTCTGCACACAGCCTCAGCCATCAGACGGTGAGTCTCCTGACCTGTGTTGCCTCACCCGGGGGCCCAACAGCTCTGGCCCCCTCCTAAGTGTTCCTTCCTCCTAGGACTCCTCTGTCATCTACGCCAAGGTGAAGAAGGCATGCACCCCAGCCTCCGGGCCCCACCAGCTGGCCTCCCCAGCTCCTCACAGATGAGTCCACGCATCTCCCCAACTGCTGTCTCAGCCTCTGAATCCCAGTGTTCTCCGTGGGGAAGAAGGAGCATTGAAATGGGAAGATTGAAGCCACCCCAGGCCACATCCAGCAGCTTTTGTGTCAAATGCTCTCTGTCTGCACCGAGCCCAGAGCCCTGCTGGACTCCCACTTATTTCTTAGGTTGCAGCGTTGCCCTAGTGGCTCCTTTTTAATCTAGTGATAGGTTGTTCCCAACTCGGGGCACATTACATCTCCAGGCTTCCTTAGTGAGTGTCAGCTCCGGTGGGTCCTGACAGTCCTCAATTCCAGCAGGGAGGTCCTGCCAGCGTGGGTACACTTCTCAATTGCTATCAGCCTCCTGGGACGACTGCAGTAGCCTGCCAGATGGGAAGCACATGCCCCAAGGATGATGGTCGCCGTATGGATGTTCTTCTAGTGGGACTGCACTTTATGCTTTTCCACCTGTCTGAATCTCCAAGGTCACCTGACTTGAGACTAATTTCTCTCCTGCGCCTGTGCCAACATCTGTTCATCCAAGTGAGTGGAATTTGCACTCCGGTTCCCAGGTCTTCCCCAACCTTCCAGGATGCCCAAGGACACGGCTAGAATGCATATTGGAATATATGCAAATTACCATTTGACTGAATGAATGAAGAAGAAACTATGGGTAATCAAACTGGCATCTGATCCAACTTAGCATGCTCCCGAGAAAAATTCAGGAGGTACTTCTGTTTCCTCTGAGCAAGAAATAAAAGAGAAGCAGGAGGGGTGAGGAATTTGGCTTATCAAGAAAGAGGATTTCTCAGACTTTAATGTGCCTCCGGAATACCTGAGTATCTTACGAAATTGCAGATCCTGGCTCCGTGAGGCTGGGTGGAGCCTGGGATTCTCTGTTTGTAACAAACTTCTAGGTGACGCTGATGCCACAGGTCCAGAAACCGTACTGAGAGCTGAGGTGCAGGAGGCCTGGCTGCCCTCCATGTAACTCCTCGGGGGGCTTGCACACAGATCACACTGTTCCTGAAGCTGTCCTTCAGCCAGAGCACCACCAGCTGCTGTGGCATACAGAAATTCCCTGCAGCATATTGGGTTTTATCAACCACCCTGGGTGGGGGAAGGTGGCTGCCGCCATCTTTGTTTCCCCACACTTTCTCATGAAGAGTGAATGAACACCCTATGCATCAACATGCCCTCCAGACCCTGCCCCTAGTTGGGAGGTGCTCTTCTCCATTTCCTAGCTCAGCCCTTCTGCAATTCCTTCTCCTGAAAGGCCTTTCCTATCATCTCCATCTACTATAATTCTGCCCTTTCCCTAAGCCCCACCAGTATCCACCCCACCATCTCTCCTTTGGGCACCTATGGCACTTTGACAGATTTGCAATTACCATTGTCAATGTGGGGAGAGAACTGAAAGTTGGTTAGGACAACCCTAATTTTGCAGCAAGAAATTGAGAACTAGAGAATTGGGAGGAAACCAGATGATGATGATCACATAGCCAGGTAGTAGCAAAGCCCAAACTAAAGTAAACCCAGGGCTCCCGACCCCCAAGACCACATTCTTTCCTCCACATCTCTCTTCTGTTGCAGAAACATGGGGCTGGGGGCATTTCTGGTTCTCCAACAACTGCGAGAGGCCATAAAAGCAAAGCCTGACTCCAGTTGATGTACACACAGAGCCCAGCATGGTGCCTGGCATACAGATGGCTTTCAGTAAATCATTGTCAAATTGAATGTTGGGAAGTCTCCCAATGAATGCACATCATCTCCACAAATTTATCCATATCTTTACTGACTGACTCTTATTCCAGGGGAATGCAATTCATGTCCTCAGATCTCAGAATGCTTGGGGATACCAATAAAATAATTTCTGTCAGACCAACCTGTCAGTCTGGAGTGGACTTTTTAACTGTTTTTAACAAAACCAGCATTGCCTGCAGGTATCTGAAACTCAAGAAAAAAAAACTAATCAGATGAACCACAAATTTTTTTCTCTCTCTCCTTACTCCTTCCCTCCCCCTCCCTTCCTTTTCCCCTTTCATCTCCCTTTCTTTAGCTGAAGCCACACCTCTGTCCCAGTCACCCCAGTCAGGAGACACACAGCTGTCTCTAGCTCTCTACACTGAATTGGTCACCCAGTCCAATCCATTCTGCTGTTTATCTTACATGTCTCATAAATCGTGTTCCCTCTGCCCCTGCCTTGGTACAGGCTCTTGTCAACAACCACGAGGACTATTCCAGTCACCTAAGACTGGTGTCCCTACTCCAGACTCTTCCACCCCCATTCATTCCCAGTAGGATCAGCAGGATGAACTTTCCAGCCTGTTGATCCCTCTGCTGGGATTCCCTTGTTTTCCAGACAGCTCACTCTTTCCTGTGGGCACAAGGCTCTTTGCAGTTTAATTCCAACCCAAACTTCCAGCTTCATCTCCAATCCTTCCCCACCACCACAGGAACAGGCACCCCACGCTCCTGCCACACACACACACACACACCTGATTTCAAGTGGCCATACCTTTCCAAATCTATTCCAGTAACTGTTCCCTCTCTGTCTTATCTGTGGAAGTCACTTGTCCTCCAAGACCTAATTCCCCTCTCAGGGAAGCTTCACTTTTTCCCTCTGGGTCTCTATAACTTTTGCATCTATGTTTCTTATCATCCTTACAAGAGAGAGAGACAGACAGACGGATGGGCACAGAGACAGAGACAGAGAGACAGAGAGAGAGAGAAACCCTCCCTGATTCTCACATCACGGCCACCCACAGTACAGGACTTGGTCAGTCAGATGCTCAGCTCTTAGTGGATAAATGTATAGAATGGGACTTTGCCTGTTTTCTCAGAATAACTCCCGTAGCCCCAAGGCTGAGGTCTGCAGTTGACAGTTACCCACCATGTTCTGAAGAGGAGCTTCTAGACACATCCCACGGGACCAACAAACGGCACACCCACCCTCGGTACTTCCAGATCCTCAGGCATCCTTATCAGTGATGTGTAGGGTTCATTAAGGAGATGGTGACCCAGTGAGGGTGCTGGGCACCTGCCCTCCTGACCCAGCCAGGGAAGACAAGACTCGTGGATAACTGCTTAGAGAAATGAAGAGGGTCCTTCACCACTCAGCTCAGGAATCCACAGGCCCCTCCTAGCGTGCCCCCGAGCCCTGCCCACTGAGCTTTTAGGAGATCTTGACACGAGTGCCCTGGAGTTTAGGTGTATGAGGGAGAAGCATTTCTCACCACTCCTGATGTCCCCACCCTGCTGTGGGGAGGGAGCCCATTATACCATACTCCTGGTCCCTCTCTGCCTTACTCCCCTGATAAGGAACAGCTACTTAGCTCCCTGAAGAGTCTGGAAAGAGAGTGTGGGCATGTATGGACCGGCCAGTCTGTCTCCCCCTGTGTCATGGCCAAGGGCATCTCACAGGAGTTTGTGTTCTTCTCTGTCCTAAGTTCCAAAGGACCACTTTTGGCTGCAGATATATCTCAGTGGTAGAGTGCTTGCCTAGCATAAGTGAGGCCCTGGGTCAGATCCCTGGACACCCTCCCCATCCAAAAAAAAATGTTGAAAGGACCCACCTCTACAGATAGGTGCCTGCAAGGCTTCAAACCTTAAGAAACAGGGGAGACTTCAGAAGAGCAAATGCACAGGAAGGATAAACGTTTCTGCTACAGCCATGGCGGATGCTTTATGCATCAGTGGTATTTACCTGGCGTAGAGCACGTGGGGTTTTTACCATGATTATTTGCAATAATTTATTTGGAACTGTCATCTGGAGCTGAATTTGATTTTGGCTACTGAAGGCCTCTAAGGTTCTGGCTGCACTGTTTTTTGGCAGGTCACTAAGACTTTGTCCTAGGGCTTTGGTGCTGAGAATGCACACACTGACCATTAAGCAATGCTGGGCAGGGATGCTGGACTGCTCAGGCTGGAGTCACTGTAGCCACAGGCCGCACTAGTTCTGCTACTGTGTATTCAGGCTGCTGCATCTGCCAGGCAAGGATCCCGGTTTCTCTTGGCATGTGGGAGCATGACCCAGTGGCACTTCCCTCATGTATACCATGTGCCCCCACCTCCACTCTGGGCCACCTGCTGGAGGTTGATCTTGACAATGGGATAGTAGAGCCAGCGGATGGATTTCTCTCCTTTACCACCACCAAATGCACTGCTCAAAGATGGAAAAGCTTGATATGGAAACATCTTTGAGACCAGGCAATCAACTTGTGGCATAGCTGTGACCAAGTTGGGAAGACACACCTTTAGGTGTGTTTTCCTTACTTCCTAGCCTCTCCCATTCTCTCATTCCTACTCCCTGGGATTAGGCTCATCCATCATGTGGTTAACACATGAACTTCTGCTTCATGCTATTTTCTAGGGATCAGGAGCTAAAACAGCAGCTTCAAGCCACAGAGTTACAGCCAGGTGGCAGTCACATGGAGCCCAGCAGTCACAACCAGATATGCAGCCACAGAAAGTGGGAGCAGATGGAAAACGCCTTGGCAGAGCCAAGAGTCTTGAAAAGACGCCGACTTCTTAAACAGATGTTGCTTGCCTAAACAGTCAAGGCTGTTGCAAAGGTTCAACTATTTAAAAAAATTTTGTCATTAAAGTCTTTGACCTGGTGGAATTCAGAGCAGTATTTCCTGCTTTCAATGTAATATAGATGAGTTCCATGTGTGCCACATGGTGTTCAAGCTTTCTGGTGCAAGGGCCTGGCCTGGATCAGCAAGGCCAGCTCTGCCAACCCAAGCTAAGCTGAGCCTTTCCAAAGGAAGCCACATCATGTCACAGGCCTGCGCCTTGTAGAGCACCAAGCAGAGACGATTGTCTTGATTGCAGAAATGTAGTTTGCCATAAAGGTGGAGCAGGAGAAATTTTTTCCAAAAGGGCAGGGTTCTTAGGTCTAAATGAAAACCCAGAGAGGACAGAGCAAGGGCAGTTCAAGACTAAAAACTTATCTGCTCACCATCTCTTCTGAAGGCCTTGTCACCAAGTAGCTCACACCCAATACAGTGCTGAGAAGACTTTTGCACCAGGCTCCAGAGAGGAAATTTAAAAATCCCTCATTAGGAAAGAAAGGTACCTCCTCTGTGGACTTCTACTCCCTGTCTCCAAAATGATAAGTGCACAGGGCAAAACAAACTTGCTGGAAGATTTCTACCACTCGGGTTAAAATTATGGGGCACAGACTCCAGATCAATGTCCTTCTAATCAGACTAACATTAACAAAGATCTTTTCCATTCACTCTTCCTGATTCAAGTCTCTGGCAATGCCTCGTATGAGACTCTGATGATGTAATTTTCTTGGGATCATTGTTTGAGAGGAAACAAATCCAAGACCTGCCCCTCGAAGATATCTCAAAACTGTCAATGTCATGAAAGGTGGAAACAAAAAGGCACTGAGACTCGGGGAGCCTAAAGAGACCTGGCAACAAACCTTCACTGGATCTGCATCCAAGGGGGGAAAAGCCATTGAAGAAATTTTTTGCGACAATTAAGGAAAATTAAATATGGACTATGTAATATTGGTACTATTGAGTCAATAATCCCATATTACTTTAAAAAAACTTTTGATAATATTTTAAATACTTTCAAGTGGTCCCATAAAAATGTTTTTTTTTAAATTTTTAAAATTTGTTTTAATTAGTTACACATGAATACATTTATGCACTTTGATATATCATACATAGACGGGATATAATTTCTCATTTTTCTGAGTGTACATGTTACCGAATCATATTGGTCATGTAGTCACATATATCCATACAATAATAATGTCTGTTTCATTCTACTGTCTTTCCTATCCCCACATCCCCTCCCTCCCCTCCCATCACTTCCCTCTACCTAATTTAACGTAATGCTATTCTTCCCTAGTGCCTCCACCTTATTGTGAATTAGCAGCCACATATTAGAGAAAACATTCAGACTTTGGTTTTGTGGGATTGGCTTATTTCGCTTTGTATGATATTCTCCAACTCCAACCATTTTCTGGAAAATGCCATAATTACCTAGGTATCCTTAAATAGATGAATGGATAAAAAAATGTGGTATACATAAAAATTTTTAAAGTGTGTGTGTGTGTGTGTGTATGTGTTGTGCATGAACATGCGTGTGCATAGGGGGGTGAGAGAAAGTAAGAAAAAGCAAATGTGACCCTAAAAAAATGTCACTAATTGGTAAATACTGAGAGAGCATACTGGTAGCTATTCTTTCAATTTTGGAGAGATTTCAAATTTTCTAAAATAAAATATTAGATGTCGAAGAATGGAGAACATCAGACACTAGGCTTTGAATTAGGGGTCTCAGAGGTGCTGGTAGAACTTCACCCTCCCTGTCCACTGAGAGTGTGGAAAGAACACCCCACCCCTGGCCTGGGCAGTTAGGGGCTTCCAGGCCAAGACAGAACCAAACAAGACACTGAGGACAATAACTGGAGTTTTTTTGTGTGTTTATTTTATTTGAAATATTTTACTTTAATGTCCTTGGGAATTTAATCTTGGAAATGCAATTCTTCCCTGGGGAATTGCATGATGGAATGAGGTTTATTTCAGAGTACCTTGGTATTGTCGAGTTATGATTGGAGTACTCAATGGTTGGATCTCGTTGCAGAATCTCTGATAGACTGTTAGGAAATATTGGTGAAATATTTGGGAATGGATAACACAACAAAGGGAAAACTCTGGCCATGAGTATGGGGTGACCTGGGTGGCCTGTCATGAGTTGGCTCTCTGTTTTAACCCATTTCAGAGTTCTCAAGGGACAAACTGTCCCCTGCCTGGCAGTGGTCTCAGGAGGCTCTCCATGACAGAGAAGCAGTACAGAGTCTTCCTGCCCACCACAGCCCTGGTAGGCCACAGGCTCACTGGGTAGTATGTACCAGTGGTCAAA